ATTGTGGAATATATTAATATAAAAGCTTACATGTAGGTAAAATCTATAAAACGGTCGTAGCTTTGGAAACGTCGAAATTTTGTTATAATTTTCAGGTAGATGCATCATGCACCGGCACCAATATGTTTGTTTCATTTCCTGACAGACTAAGGTGCGTCATTGTAAAAATCAATGTTTATGCAAACCTCGAGGGCCTGTTTCCTAATTGTTCCTCGTTCCGCCTAGTTGTCATAGTGAGATGTTCTCAAATTGTCATGACCGAGACATAGGCTAATTCCGCACTTTATCTTTTGTAGCATGCTCGAAGCTTCTTTCTTAATTAGTTTCTTAGACGTGACGTTTTTGTATAACTTCAACTAATCCCTGTGAGAATGGTTAATATAAAAAGTATTCCAAACGCGCGTGTTACGCAACCATCTCGCGCAAAAAGTTTAGAAGCAATAATTGTTTAATTCTACATTTAGGTGCGACTCACGAACTTGATATAAATATAATTAGCGAATTTGGCCAGGTTTGTTCAGTTCATGACGTACATTTCTGATATAGAGCTAGTAATGGGGCCAAATATGTCAAAACAACTACCTGTACTGTATACATAACTATTAGGCAGATTTTGATCGAGGAGGCGGACGTCCAAGACAACTTGAAAATGGCGTGGCATATCCATACATGGGCACAACACGCCGTTTTTACGTCGTCTTTGACGTCCACGTCCTCGATCCAAGTCTGTCTACCATCGACTGTTGTGCGTGATGTTGTCGTGTATCACGTATACAACTGCTGCCGGTATTGATTACATTAAATAATAATCTAACATGTGCGTAATATGCAATAATCAGACTGGCATTATGTCAAACTCTTTTTTGCTCAAAGTTCGAGCATAGCAAACTAAAATAGGCTAACTACGTAGTATTTTACACCTCATTCCCAGGATTTTCGTGAAAGAACGAAAGGAGAGAAAGGAAAGCCTAGCTGATCTCAACCGGTAAATTTTCCATTCTGATTGGCTTACAACATGCATACAGTAATTGTCCAAAAATGCTAGAAATTTGCAATAACATTTCAACATAACAATTCGACTATATGTAATTTTATGATTTCGTGTATACGAATATTTTATTGCAAAATAATCATAATAATTTTGGCTATAATTGAATCTCAAAAGCCGTGTCGACGAGAGTTGTGATATTTCCTGATGGTGCATGATACGTCTACTATAGCTGTAATCTTCCTTGTACAGCATGTATAATGTAACGCAGATGTCTGATGGAATACTACGCGTTGATTGCATTGTAGTAATACATTAATCTAGAATATTCTATACTAACAAATATAAACAAGGCAAACAACTAAATGAAACCAATAGTAACTTAGGCCCTGGGATAGCTCTACGCGAAGCCCCAAAGGTTATGTATATAGTCTCACTATAGTCTGTACACGATTCTCTTGTAGCGACAAGGGACATTTCGTAATACCCCGAATACTTGAAAATTTCGATTATACGATAAAATAAAACAAAGGTTGTGAAGGGAATCACATTTCCAGGCAGGCATTGCACCTGTTGGTGTCGAAACGAGGGAGTTTACGCGAGGTTTAATGATTAAATTTTGAAGGCCAAGCTATATTGTTCAAGACGAGAGAAAGGGAAATTCGTGTGAATCGCCACTCGATCGGAGACGCCTAGATGCATCTTGGAAATCATCTTGAGATATTGTTATGCCTTTTGCGGATTTTCCTGTCAATGTGGTTGAAAATCTTCAGAAATATCAGTACATTTTAGAAAACATCGACCGTGTCTACAGAGATTTCGGCCCGGTTTCGTGCCAAATTTCACTATGCAAAAAGAATATCGATTGAGACGTTTTTGGCTGTTTATTTATTTCGAAGACTTGTTTATTTCAGTTAAGATCATCTTGACACACCTTGACGAGTAGCTGTCGAATATATATTCCATATCACTTTTTCGACAAATGGAATGTCCATTGGCCAGCAATGGATGAACTATCGGAACTATGCATCACCGAATAAGAGACCATGTGAAAGTTGCCGATCGGAATAGTGCATCAACCGGATAAGAGCTTCCGCGTTTTTACCATTACGTAATTAACGGGTTGCAAGACCCCATGTGGACATGATTATGAAACCAGAGAGATGTTCGAATGGTCCAATGGATCCAATGGATCCAATGGACCAATTATTGTCCAATGAAATTTTACCTGTCCATTGGATCCAATGGACAAAATAACTTGTCCATTGGAAAATTACCTGTCAATTGGATCCAATGGAAAAATAATATGGAAGTCAATAGACATTTCTTATATCAATAATATTACAATATGTTGTCGCTTCGTTCTTAACAACTCACGCAATATATCATATAGCAATATATAATATGTTGTTGTTTCTTTCTTTCTTAAGTTAAGAAACCTACACGGAATATATCAATATAATATGTTGTTGCTTCGTTCTCAAGAGACCACGTATATAACGCGGAAAGGAAAGATCCTTATATCAATCATGATATAATATGTTGTAATTGCTTCGTTCTTAAGAAATCACGCAATATATCAATATAATATGTTGTGAACGTTCGGTTAAGAAACGTTCCTTTGTTCTCAAGAGACGCGCAATATATCAATATAATTTTCCTTCGTTCTCAAGAGACCACATACATAACACGGGAACGGGAAGATCCTTATATCAATAATACAATATGTTGTTGCTTCGTTCTTAAGAACTCACGCAATATATCAACATAATTTTGCTTTTTTGTCAAGAGACCACGCGTACATAACACGCGAACGGGAAGATCTTTACATGAATAAATAAATATAATATGTTGTTCCTTCGTTCATAAGAACTCACGCAATATATCATATGGAAACATAATGTTGTTGTACGCAATATATCAATATAATATGTTGTTGCTTCGTTCTCAAGAGACCACGTATACAACGCGGAAAGGAAAGATCCTTATATCAATCATGATATATTATGTTGTAATTGCTTCGTTTTTAAGAAATCATGCAATATATCAATATAATATGTTGTGAACGTTCAGTTAAGAAACGTTCCTTTATTCTCAAGAGACGCGCAACCATATCAATATAATTTTCCTTCGTTCTCAAGAGACCATGCACATCATACATAACACGGGAACGGGAAGATTCTTATATCAATAATATAATATGTTGTTGCTTCGTTCTTAAGAACTCACGTAATATATCTATAATATGTTGTTGGTTCATTCGGTTAAGGCACGCAATATAGCAAAGCATAGGCTAATATATGCTATATATGTCGTTGCTTTGTTTTCAAGAGGCGTGCAATATATCAATAGGCCTATAGCTAATATAGTAGAGTAGTTGCTTCGTTTTCAAAAACCACGCAATATATCATATAGCAATATTAATAATAATATGTTGTTGTTTCTTTCTTAAGAAACCTACACGCAATATATCAATATAATAATTATGTTGTTGCTTCGTTCTCAAGAGACAACGTGTATAACACGGGAATGGAAAGATCCTTATATATCAATATGATATAATACGTTGTTGCTTCGTTCTTAAGAAATCGCGCAATATATCAATAGTTATAAGACAATATAACATGTTGTTGGTTCGTTCAGTTAAGAAACTGATCACGCAATATAGCAAAGCATAATATGATGCTTGTGATGTTACTCTGAGTGTATATCCACACCGTGCAAGCTTGAAAAATACGCCTGACCACGGTGGGAACCTATGCGACCTTTGGAATACCAGCGCAATGCTCTGCCAACTGAGCTACGCGGTCTGGTCGGTTCGAGTATGTGATATTTCGGAACAGAATCTAGTTCCTTCGATATCAATGTTATCTATTAATCATGATTTTTTCTGTGTTGGTGTAATGTAGGCTACTCAGGTGAATATGATGCTTGTGATGTTACTCTGAGAGTATATCCACACCGTGCAAGCATGAAAAATACGCAATGCGTATTTTTCAGGCTTGCCCGTTGTGGATATACACTCAGAGTAACATCACAAGCATCATATTCACCTGAGTACATTACACCAACACAGAAAAAATCAAAGCATAATACGCTATATATATATATATATATATATATATATATATATATATATATATATATATATATATATATATATATATATATATATATATATATATATATA